GACAATATCATAATTAAGTGAGATAATTTGTCTCGCTAAGATATGATATATCTTTACCAACCACGCTGGTAGTGCATTGCATCATAGCGCAAGATTCGCTGGTAGAGGTGATATGAATCTTATCTTACCTTATCGAATATCAGACCTTATCATTTTATATTACATAGTTGAAACCACGATATTGTCAGTGGACACATACCATCGTAATAAAGTCTACCTTCTGTGGTTACAAGGAGCCATCCATAATGATTAACACCTGTATTTGGGGATTAGCTACCAAGTAGTTGAACACTGACAGTAGATTAGGATAAAGTAAACTATATTAATTCAGTACACAGTCGGGTAACATTGTTGTTCATCTCGTGAATAAAAATATGTACTGGTGAAGAGTGGTGCTCATGCGAAGCACTAAATTATCGAATCTGACGTTCATTACATTTACTATTTTCAGTTATCATTCTACCATGAACATAATTACTGAAGGAACATTTTTAGTATGTTTTTATTTGAAAAACAGCTGCATAGTCTTTTTAAGACGTGTAAATTACAGCTGAATGAAGTTCAGTGAAGAAGGAAGAACAAGAGTAGCTAGTCAGTTAACCCTCTTTCAAGGAACAAGAGTAGCTAGTCAGTTAACCCTCGGTTAACCCTCAGTTAACCTTCAGTTAACCCTCAGTTAACCCTCAGTTAACCCTCAGTTAACCCTCAGTTAACCCTCAGTTAACCCTCAGTTAACCCTCAGTTAACCCTCAGTTAACCCTCGGTTAACCATCAGTTAACCATCAGTTAACCCTCAGTTAACCCTCAGTTAACCATCAGTTAACCCTCAGTTAACCCTCAGTTAACCATCAGTTAACCCTCAGTTAACCCTCAGTTAACCATCAGTTAACCCTCAGTTAACACTCAGTTAACCCTCAGTTAACCCTCAGTTAACCCTCAGTTAACCATCAGTTAACCTTCAGTTAACCCTCAGTTAACCCTCAGTTAACCCTCAGTTAACCCTCTGTCAACCTCCCCGTAATGGGACAGTATTTAGAGAGGTACATTGTACAAACACATATTCCAGCTAACTACTTCCTTTGTAAAGGAAGTGGGAAACATCAAGGTAAAGACGGGATAATTGTTAAATATGGAGGTAATGATCAATTTATACCGGGGGACGGGGGTGCAAATTTACAAAAAGTTACAAACATGTGACTTACTTATCAAGGACATATTCATCTGACTCTTGAATCCTGATATGGATTTATTTATTTACATCAAATTGAGTTGGGAGGTGCAATGTCCCTAATGTGCAGCGACAATAGGGGGGACTTGAAACAAAGTAAAGGTAAAGGTAAAGGTAACTTCCTTTAACTTTTGTTTGCGAGCATTGTTATGTTTAGTTTCTCTCAGCAAGCTGGAGAGCTGCTTTATTACTGTTTATTATTGGTGTCACACCAGCTCTGATCTTACTTTCTCCTGTTGTTATCTTCTCCTCAACTTGTTATTGATACGTACTCGTAATTGATACTTTACTAGTGAGATAACAGCTAATTTGTAATCGGTATGTCACTATTAGTAGTTTCTAACCGATATAAAAATATTTGACAAAGTAAACTTTACTTTTATCCCCAACAAGCCCTCACTCGTGGGCTGAATGAGTGAAAATGTATAATTACTCGAACCATCGAGCTCCTAATGTTCGTATATCGGCTTCATTTCTTTCCTAAGAAACCCAAATCTATCCCACATTACATCCTACATTACAGTCAATTCTATACAGATTTTCTCATTAGTGATTACTCCTCTCAAATCCAGCCAGCTGGCCCCAAAGTGATATATTACCGGTATACAATGTACTACTTTCATCAAACACACATTGCACCATTATATGTTAAAAAAACATACGTACACCACATTTTGAGATTTTTGCCATTTTAGACATCTCCGTAAGCCATTTTACACTAAGCTATTGTGTAGAAACTACAGGGGGAAGGGGCTAAAATCAGTACACATTTTGGTTTTGGTTTTGGTTTAGGGAGCAAACTCGCCACATAAGTAAACAGTCCCTAGTAACACAATAGGGCAGGGGGATTGGTTGGTATTTAGCTTTAACCAGTAAAGCAGTAATATTTAGTTATGCACACGTTTGTAGATTTGTATGTCTTCGTGAGTGTGAACCTTTTTTATGTACATAATTATCATCGATAAAACCTGCATAATCTATTATATCATACTGTCGTATTTATTACAAAAGGCTAAAGAGTGGGCTATACTAAAACAACAGTCTTTACTACAGGCTAGGCTATACTTTAGACTTTACTACAGGCTAGGCTATAATATAGACTTCACTAGGCTATAGTCTATACTGTTGACTTTACTACGCTTAAGGATATACTGTAGGTTATATGGTGGACTTTACTGTAAGCAAATGTTGCAATGAAATGCTAGTAATCATATAGAGGACTAATATAATACTTTAAGGTTCAATAAAACCGGCGCAAACTCTGAGAGTGGTTACGTTATTACACAATTTACCGTCGAGACTCTAAATGAGAATTAGAGAATTAACACATTTTGTTTGAAAGCTTGTGAACCAAACAATCAGTATTTTTCGCAGCTTTCTAAACAGATTCTGACTCTGATTGCATGAGACTGTGGATTCAGAGTTTTTAAAAACAAAATCCCATTTTCTCCTTCGCTAATGTCTCGAAGGGCAAAACTTAATGGCATGGAGAATATTTCTATGATATCATATTGTTCACACCATGAACAGTGCCAGCATTCCAAATTGAAGAGATTTGGTTCAAGAATAGGTATTTTTATACCATTAGTGACGACTGACGGACTAGGTCAAACATGCCGGGTCTGTATCGGATAGTACGCCAAAGAAGCATATTATGAGATACAAGAGAACCCCCACTTAAGGATAACTCCTCTGATTGTTCACAAGGTCCTTACACACCCCCCGGTCCCCCCGGCCCCCCCTCTCTCTCTCTCTCTCTATCTCTCTCTCTCTCTCTCTCTCTCTCTCTCTCTCTCTCTCTCTCTCTCTCTCTCTCTCTCTCTCTCTCTCTCTCTCTCTCTCTCTCTCTCTCTCTCTCTCTCTCTCTCTCTCTCTCTCTCTCTCTCTCTCTCTCTCTCTCTTTCTCTCTCCTCCTCTAGCCTGATAACACTAGAAGTACATCGAACCTCCAGTACATCGAAATTTAGTGTAAAAACACCCACAATTTGACACGTTTCACTTCACGGAGGTTACAATTTCAAGTTTTTAACAGGTAATTAAAGTAGTTATTATGGGGTACCTCAAGTAATGATAAACAGTATACCACTAGTTATATGTACACAGGGAACACTATCTCATGAGGTCGTCACAACACAGAACCTCCAACTCAAACTGTGCGGCATAGTGGAGCAGAGTTCCTTTCCTTCGTGTACAGTTGCTGCATGTGTGTGCGTTCGTGTGTGTATTACCTTCTATCTGTTTAATGCTTATCCACTTTCGCTTTTGGTGAACCATCAGCGCAGTACCCGCTCCGGTAAGATCGAGTCAACTATTTACAACTGCCGACAGTTCTACAGACATTTCCACCTTAGTTTCATAACCTCCGATAGTTGTTTAACTAGTGGCACACTTGTGAACTCAATATTGACTCATAATATGCACTTAGTTTGTCTTCAGTCTACATACTACATTGTTTGTACGGGATAAGTTAGAGTATCGAGCGTTTGTGTTCAGTTTTGTGCGTGTTTTGTATTCTTTGTCATGTTCTGATCAAAGTACGTGTGTCCCGAGTTTGTTTATATCCAGAAGATCTAATATATCCGATATATGTCATCAGACAACTGTTGTGTTACCCACATATTCTAATGTGTGCGTGGTTTGTGTGTGTGTAGGGCGCTAACTTTCCCTCTCCGTTTGGTCAGAGAGGTCACCTCCAAAAATAAGCTAACGTCTGTGACTCTATTATAGGAGTGTGGTTTGTGTGCTTACTACAGCGTTAAACCTTTAAATAGATGAATTTTTAACACATCTGTTTGTATTAGAGCTAGTAATTGTGGATCTGTTAAACATAGATTGGTTCCTGTTATTCATCGCTCGTCTCGTCGTTATATTTCTGTTGCTGATATCATTGTTGATCCTGACTGGCCATTTATATTTTATATGCTCGGCCCTGTTAGACTGACGAAAGCGGTGCAATTTTGGATTACAGTTTTGTCATATTATTGTGAAATTGGAATTTTATTTTGGTGTGAACGCTAATGTATCGATAATCTAATGCAACCAAAATAGAGTTAGACAAAAGAGTCACAAATTTAAAATGATTTTCAGAGATCTCTGAAGTCAACTCTATTTGACAACACTTTGTGTCACGTGCAAGGCCCCCCTAAAAGTAATTGCACGTGCAAGGCCCCTTAAAAGTAATAGCACGTGCAAGGCCCCTTAAAAGTAATGACAACTTGTACCAGTACCAGTACAGCTGTCATGTCTCAGAATTATTGCAATCTTTTGCCGGACCGTTTTAAATATCCTATGATAAAATTGCCTTTCTTAAAATGATGTAACCTTCAAACGCACATGTCACAATATTTCCATCACGAGAAGCCGTGGAAAGGTCCCAATAAACCCCTACACTGACACAATTTCCCTCACCAATAAACAACGTTACATGCCTCGGAAACTAGGTGACAATCTTTACTAATATAGGTCTGGGTATTATAAGTGGGCTACACCCCCCTGTTGAATGTTTAACTGTGTAATCGGCGAACTGTCGAGCAAGGCTACACGAATTTCTCAGGCTTGTGAAGTTCATCCCCTGCCTTGTTGCTGTCAGAGGTAGAGAATTACGAGTTTTGGGAATATTGAGTTGATTTTAAGTAGCCTCTACCTTTCGCAAACCATCTCAGTGTTATCATCGGAGTTTTAAAATTATTCCATGTAATGGAATAATGGGTAATATGTTAATACATTAATTAATAAATTAATTATTATTAATATGTTAATATGTTGATTCCATAGGTAATATGTCACAGTTGTCACGATATCAGATACGACCATGTAAAGTTTGAAGACTATTCAACACAGTTATCTCGTATTAAATCTTGGGAAGAGTTCAGCACACCCAAACAGTGTTTTGTAAAGAGTTAACAGAAATAAAATGGCGAGAATAAACGTGTCAACCCCAAGAACCGCCCTCCTACTTCTCATACTTATTGTAAGTAAATAACTTATTAAATAAAGTAAATTACTTATAGTAAGTAAATAATATAAGAGTAAGTGAATGATATAATGATATAATATAACGAGGTAAGTCGAGTATAAAAGCTGTTTCTATGTTGTTCATCCTGAGAAAAAACCTTCATAAATTATAATAATAAGAGAAGTCCTGATGACACCAGGAGTCATCACACAATTGTGACGTCATCACGTGTTAGAAATGACGTCATCACACATTTGTGACGTCATCACACCTCAGGTAGGTTGTGGTCTGATCCTGTCCCTGATCCGGATGAGTGAGATGCCGACCACCGCTTATTATACCTCCACCAGACAACATATTGCACACGTCCTGGACGAAGCAGAAGCTGAACTCAACACTGACCCGCTTCGTGCAGACGATGGTCCCACCAGATTTCAGGGTTAGTTCCCTTCTTCTTTCCTGTTTCCTTTTTCTTTCCTGTTTTGTTTTCTTTCCTTTTTCCCCTGCTTTTTTCAAGCTCCTTTTTGATTGTCGACGAATGACGGCTTTAAAGGAAAATATTTTAAATCCTGGTTTGAAAGATTTAAAATACTGTTAAACGGTTATAGTCTGGATTTTCTTATTGTCATACGTTAATTCTGTAACTGACACAAGGTTCCATCCAGATGACTCTATAATGAAGATGTACCAAGAGGATGAGAGCAGAGGAGAACATCATCGCCCTGAAGTTTCCGGATCAACTGTAGAGTCAGGAACTGAACAAGCCGCTGAACAGAGTACAGAACCACCTCCAACAGAAGAACAAAGTACAGAACCACCAACAACAGAAGAACAGAGTACAGAACCACCTCCAACAGAAGAACAAAGTTCAGAACCACCAACAACAGAAGAAGACAATTCTGAACAATCGGTAGAACCGAGCTCAGAGCAGACAACAGAAGAAGGAAATTCTGAGGAACCTCAATCAGAGGAGGAAAGTTCAGAACAATACGTAGAAGAACAAAGTTCAGAACAATCTGTCGAACAAGGGACTGAGCAAGAAACAGAAGAAAAAGTAACAGTAGAAGCAGGATCATCAGCCCTACCTTCCTCGTCTCCAGCACCAAGCTCATCTGAAGCACCAAGCTCATCTGAAGTACCAAGCTCATCTGACAAACCCACAGAGCCTTCAAATCCAGGGATAGAAATCGAAACAGAAACAAACAGGAAAAGGTTAAATTATTAATGATATTGAAACAGTTGACCTTACTAAATTATCTAGCAACTTTACATCGTCTACACTATACAGCTCTCTAAGTCTAAAACAGACGTCGATTCTCTTTATAAATCTGAATCTCAAATGAATCCTAATCTTATATTCCAACACCAGTTCCCGTCCAGTACACGTCCTCCTGCTGACAGAGGGCCGGTCAGGCTCCACTTGGCTCAGCTCGTACTTCTGGCACCGGGATGAAGCCTACTATACATTCGAGCCTCTCTATCAGACTGGCCCCTGGAAAAGGAACAGCTGCTCTGAAACTGAGGTCAGTTTCAGTAGGTTGGAGTTTTTCAATCAACCCTGCTCCTCCCAAAAATTATGTCTTCTTTTGACTGATCATTTTAGAATTTTGATTAGTCATCAAAATTATAGTTTCATATTTTCAAGATTTGAGGGGGTCTATTCCTGCTGTGATATAAACTTCTAAATTGAGCAGCCAGCTATACTAGTTACAAGTGATTTTATTCAATGGTATACAACAAGCTAATCGAGTTTGATCTACAGGAGAGGAAGAAGGAATGCGAAGTGGAGATACTGTCTAAGTTTTGGAAGTGCGACTTCCACTCCAGTGATCTTACCGTTTTAGGTAAGATACATAGTATAGAGGAAGTACTGAAATTAAAACACTTAGCAAGTTGTCAATTTAATAATAAATCATTTTATTGCAAAACAATAGGAACTCATTTCGCTGGATTCCACAGAAAAGGAGCCCAGCCCCCCCCCCCCCCCCCCCCCCCTCCCCGCCCCCCCCCTCCTCAGCAGTCTCTCTCCAATAAGTAATAACTCTGACAGAATATCTCACAGGACGGTACCCCACTTACCACCTAGACTGCAAACCTCACGAAGAACGATGTAGTGTTCTAGGAAAGGAGAACATGTGCAATACTGCTACTCACAGAGTCGCTAAAACGATAAGACTCTGGGATCTTACTCATATAGAGGAGATTGTAAGTCTGGAGCCGGATTATTTCTCTGAGTTTATAAATTATAATGTTCTATTAAGTTCTGTCAAATTCTATAATGTTCTTGTGATTACACGAAATTCTCAAATGTGCCTGTAATAAAAAGATTTAAACCTTTTGTAGTTTTATATTACATTACATAATGCAAGGCTACAAAGGAATAAAAGATCAAAGTACTAGAACAGAAGTTTGTAGTTCCAGTTCCATTTTAAATTAATTTATGACGTGGCGTCTTCAGACCGCCTAACAACCGACAAAATGCAGGTAATTATGGAGTATTGTGCCCCATATTAGGGGGTATTTTGGAGATACATTTACCAGGCATTATAGTTGAAGTCCAGTATAATAGCTACTGGTTACTGGTAACCAAGTCACCAACTTCCTCGAACTCGCACCTAACGAATACCTACTTCATTAATTCTTGCCCAAAATTGGAAATTTGCAACTCCTAAGATTCATGAGAATGTACACGTCATATTTGACATGAATTCAAGGGTAATGTTTAACCGTATGCCAACCCCCAGGCGAAGGACACAGCACACTACGATGTCAGGGTGATACACCTTGTCCGGGACCCACGTCCTCTGCTTAAGTCACGGAGCAAACCTGGCTTTGGTAGTCTGGACGGAACACACAAAACTAACGACTTCTCGGAAGAGGTATTGACTATCGAGGTAGAAAACTATCAGCACCGGTCTTTTTTTGTATTTCTGCTTTATTACTTAACCCTGGAGGCAATTACGCAATGATGGTTGCGAATGGTTATATAATAATGTTTTGACTTGTTTGTGTTTTGACTCAATATGACTTTAGATTGATGACAAAATACTCTTTAACGATCTGATAACCCTAGCAGAGTTTTGAAGAGCAATGTGCTACAGTTTGTAAGAGAATGTTAGAGACTTCTCAACTTGGGGACAATCCTCCAGACTGGCTTAAAAACAGGTGACCATCACGTGACCATCAAGTGACCATCACGTGACCATCACGTGATCAAGCCATTCATTAAACCAACTGGCTGTTCTGTAAATCACCATTACTAGAAATCCTTCATACTAAATGTGTTAGAGAGCATGTCTTAGAATTTCCTCAATCATAACCCCCCCCCCCCCCCCCCACCATAAACGTACCGCTGCAAAGCAACCCTCGTCTCATGATTTTACCAAAATATCATTGCTTAGTCCTACACATTCCCTTGCGTCAGGTACGTGCGGATATCACATGAGCAAATGTCGCTGCACCCAGTGGAGACCGCTAAAATGCTGTACAAGTTTACAGACCTCTCCTGGACTGCCGAGACTGAGGATTACATTTACAAAACTGCAACAGGTAAAGATTTCATAAAAACCGTGTGAAAAGTTGAAGATTATGAAGATTCCAGCTGTTTATTGACCATTTATTCTCATTATTAAATTCAAATTCACAGGTGGGATAGGTAAAGGTGGTATGTTTGGTATCGCTAAAATCTCAACCAAAGTGATTAACCAGTGGAAGATGATGAAGGAGGAACAGATAACTAAGATAACTAACACGTGCTTTGAGACTCTTAAATATTTGGGATATGAAACGGACCTGGAAACGATAAGACAATGGAAGTTAGATAATGTAGAATTGTTTACTGATGATGAATTAGTTGAGTTAGATGATAATAGTAAACTTCGGTAGTGCATGATTCAGTTTTAATTGATGTTATGTTATAATATTGATGGGAAGTTATTTAATTTTTCAAAATATGTCATCTTATTTAATGACGTTATTTTTGAGTAAAGTTTTAATTTAAGGGAAATTTGCAAGACTTTTTATTTGATAATTTGTTACCTAAGAATTCATTAATATATTATTTATCGTAGAATGCTACGAATTTTTAACTGTTTGACAATAATTGTACTTCTTTTTTCCAATTATGCTATCACAGTCAAACCATAATATGAACCCTAATTTACTGGCACCATTCGGGTAAAGTCCCTTTTAAAAATTGTGGAATGCAATGCCTTACCATCTGAATTGCATCAGCGACCGGGAGCATTTCAAATCGCAGCTTACCGAGTTTATGCTATCTCTTCCCAATACACCGCCCGTCAGGGCTACACTCCTCAGAACTCAAACTCACTGCTTTGCTGGAGGAATGCCGAATGACACAGAGATCTCCTCTCTGTGGGGTGGTCACACAATGTGATGGCCCTGTTTAACGAAAGCTTAACGAATCTCAGCATCGGTAACAAGGTAACTAATATCAGACTATTCTGCTCTGATATAGGTTTATGGTTTCACTACTACTGGTCACACCACCAGCACACACATGGCTGCTACTTGTGTGGCCACCATAAAGTGCAGTTACAAAACAGATTAATTAGTAACTCATACACACTGACAGATTCTGCGTGTGGGATTAATGAAGCGAATAAAATGTTGACATTCTGTGAGATGTTGAGGAGATGATGTTATTATATCCAGGGTGTGTAGATATTGTTCAACTGTGAATTTTCAAGCAGTGTTCAATAATGTTCAACAGTGTTCAATAATGTTCAACAGTGTTCAATAATGTTCAGCAGTGTTCAATAATGTTCAACAGTGTTCAATAATGTTCAGCAGTGTTCAATAATGTTCAACAGTGTTCAATAATGTTCAACAGTGTTCAATAATGTTCAACAGTGTTCAATAATGTTCAACAGTGAACTTTCAAGACAGTGTTGACTGCTCAACAATGTTCAACAATGAGCTTTCCAATATTCTACAGATTATTCTGTGCAAGAATAAACATTATCGACAACAAGTGCAGTTAATTAATTACCGTAGCAGTTTAATTTTAATTCAACAGTATTTGTGTCCATATCCTTATATCCTAGCAATCAGCATCTTGTCTTAACGATCGTTATATTTTTATTCTAAGACTTGGTATTATCTGTTAGGTAGGCACAAGGTCTGAGTCCCATCGTAAAATTACATAATTTAGCCACATAATTACATAATTTAGCCACTTAATTACATAATTTAGCCACATAATTACATAATTTAGCCACTTAATTACATAATTTAGCCACATCTCCCGAATCTGATCTAAAAATGTGAAGATAACGTGCTACAAAAGTGATATATTTCCAACCACATTTGGTAAAACCACATCTGGTAAAAGCTTCATTACACGAGGCAATGACCCCGTCCCACTGTTGTAACGTAATACTCGGTTAATGAATGGTAGGGTTGAATAACCTGTTCATTACATTTTACCATTGTTGGTTGATTAGTGACGTTCAACAATCACAAAAGCTATTTTATGAGATATCAAAACACAATGCAACCGCTTATTGGGACCGGAACTAAGATTGGAGTTTTGCCAAAAAACTGTAAACAAGCGAGTAAATGTATGAAATAAAGAATGCTTACTTTTTTGAGTAGCCTCAAAATGTTCACTCTTCTTCTTCCGCTTCCATTTCCAGGGCTTCATCATGTGCAGCAAGGACTTCTTCTTCTTCTTCTCCTGCGGAGAGCTACTACCCGTCGACTGAAACAAAAGCAACATTTCAGAACAAAATCTCTTAACATGATCACCAGCGATGGTAGTTAAAGTTACCATTACAATGTTAATAATTACTCCCACCAGTCCGTGGTAAACACATCATCTCCGACGTCTTTAAACAACCAGACCTATATTACGTAAGTACTCACACTCACACACATCACTTGGAGACCGTTCTAAAATCTTAAAAGTAGTCTGTAAAGACCCATTAACTGGCCTGTAAAAAACCTTACCGTCTCCGGACAGTCACATGACCACTAGAATGAGCATTCAGTGTTTTCAACTTGTACCATGACTTGACGTGTATTTGATGCTCGCCATCCCCAAACTCCATATTAGATGCGAATATGTCAGGTTAAAGTTTACCCTAGTTGGTATAATCGATTTAACTGATCGCCAAACGACACCGCAGTAACTCTCTTTTGAGTTTTAATAAGTTGATAACCTCAAGTCGCCGAGTATAAAGTGTCAAAATTTTGACGGGTAAAGACGAAGAAAATATTTATATAACCGCTTGAAGTGTTCGAGGTGTGTTAAAAATCATGGATTATTTGTGTTAAATGAGAAAACCTGTCAAGTTATATTAAAGGTTTAATATTAAAGAATTGTAATAATTTGAGACACGCCTGACGAATCAGGATAATGATTTTAGAAGATTATCATTTACAGTTTACATGCGACAGAACATTCATTTTAGACGACTGAGTAAAATATTTTGGACGGTGGACAAAATTTATTATCCTCAATCTGTTCTTTACATTATCAAATATTCTTCAATGTCAATGTACATCTATTAATTTAGAAAGTATAAGTTACTTGGTAAAGTATATCATATATTGTTAAAAGTATACCCATTAATATAAATACATTAAGTATTAATATTTAACAGTGTTGTAGTAGTGTAACTGTACAGTTGTGATAGTGTACTGTTGCCAATTCTTAAGCTGTTTGCAATTAGTTGATACTATCAGTTCCTCTAGTCCATCAGTTTCTTAACTAGCATCCTCGATGTGACACACCTTACTTATTACTATTGGTGTTTTCTCTTGTTCTAAAACGCAAGATCAACTCAGGAGAAATAATCACTCAGTTCTCATTTTCTAGCAGAGTAATTAGCTGGATATCTTGATAACAATATATAATTATAATATAATAATGTGTTAAGATGAAGAGGGCCCCTGGGATCAGTGCAGACTACACCCCCTTCCCTCGCTTATACTTTTGAGTGCAGCACAGCTGCAAGAATCATTACACCACTTCATCTGGTAACACTACAGTACTAATTGTATCCCAAATGTACTGTAAGCTATTACCCTGCAGCAGTACACTGCGTGTCCCACACTGTACTGCAATTCTTCTGTGCAGCTGTTCACAATTATAATGGAAACGTCTTTGATAGCGCAGTAATTTGCGTGATATGTTGTTAGCTTCTAGGCCAAGGAATAAAACAACTGTACGATTATAATTAAATAGTTGATTATATGAGTTGATTAAGCAACATTGTGCAATGGTCTTGTTGAATGAATTGAAGATTCAGTGAAATTACTAATTCGCTATGATTATAGTTGAGATGTGGACAAAATGTGGTCCATTGTCGAGAGTAATTAAATCTAATGTACGTTTTCGTGCATAACGCACACTGCGCACATGTTCACATGAATAGTTTATTTATGTTCATGAAATGGAAAAGTAGAAACAGTCATATAGTGGTTAAATACATTCATTTTAAATGGAGATGATTGGCGATTATTTTAGATTGAAGATCTAAAAATTGGGGTATTACTATCATTGGGAATCACTGCATCGTGTAACGAAACTACCAAATAAGGTTTATGGACACGTTCATTGAAGTTTGAGGAAATTGGTAAATTTCTAAAACAGCGTTTTTGACGATAGTGGTTTAATTTTAACATATATTAATCTAGCGTGTTCATAAGTTCTGAACATTAGCCACGTGACCCATACTCCCATATGCACTGCTCAAAAATAAAATGTATTGCTTTTAGGCACTATTATGTAAAAAATGTCACATTTTTGTGACATTGTTTACCATAGCTGCCCAATTAGCATTTTTTGGTCTTAGATATAGTAGATTAGGTGAATCTAACAATTATGATACAATGTAGGCCTAAAGGGCAGTGATCGAACGGCTTTAAGGCAACATTTCGTAAACTTTGTCACACTCAGAATACGAGACCTCTTTTCTACTGTGAGGTGTCCATAAAACCCTTTCAACTCATTATTTGATAGTTCTTCTGCTAATCATAGCCCTAAAATATGTTGTTTTGAAAAGTTAACTTGAAATACATGCACTTGGCTATTGGTAAATGATGTAAATTCTGTCACATTATATGGAATTTGAAATTCTGGGTGAATTTCCGAAATCATTTATATCTGATTTTGGTTTGGAAGGCGGGAAAACTCTATATAATGAGGACGATACACGGATACAGTTGATTGAAGTATAGCCCGGCAGTTGATGTAAACATCGTCACAAAATGATACAAAATCGTAAATGGACACGTTCATGTTGAAGTTTAAGGGTATTGGTAAACCAAAAAAAATAGCGTGTTCAGAAGTTCTGTACATTAGCCACGTGACCCATACTTCCATATACACGGCTCATGTCAGAAATACAATTTATTGTTTTTAGGCACTATAATGTAAAAAATGTCACATTTTTGTGACTGTGTTAACCATAGCTGCCCAATTAGCATTTTTTGGTTTAAAATATAGTAGATTAGGTCATTCTAACAATTATGATACAACATTTGGCTAAAGGGCAGGGATCGAACGGTTTTAAGGCAATATTCCGTAAACTTTGTCACACTCAGAATACGATACCTCTTTTCTACTGTGAGGTGTCCTCAAAACCCTTTCAACTCATTATTTGATGGTTTTTCTACTAATCATAGCCCTAAAATATGTTGTTTTGAAAAGTTAGCAAATACATGCACTTATTGGGAAATGATGTAAATTCTGTCACATTATATGGAATTTAAAATTTTGGGTGAATTGCCGAAATCATTTATATCTGATTTTGGTTTGGAAGGCGGGAAAACTGTATATAAGGACGATGCACGGATAGAGCTGATTCAAGTTAAGGGCAGTTGATGTAAAAATTGTCACAATAATAATAAGGGCAGTTGATATGAAAGAAAATCTATCTAACTAATGCAATGGCTGATGTGACGAAATTTACATTTCTTGACCCTATTTTGAAGAAACATGCCTCGATTAGAATTCAATATTCTTCCAGGAATTATTAGTAGGTTATTATTCAGCAAATCAGAACTCAAGTTTAACAATTCTGAGTTTAATTTTACTGAGTTACCGAAATGTGACGAAATTCACTTTTCC